GTATTGGAACAACGACGAGCTGCATTAGAATTATATATACAGAAGATGCTACATTTATTGGCAACGAAGCAGCAAGTTCTCAATTTTTTGGGCATAGAAGACCAGGGATTTACATCTCACAAGAGGTATTGATTTTTAATCAAACAAGTTATATAACAAACGATAGTAAGTGTAATTTAAATGTGTGAAAAAGATATCGGTATATGGCATTTGAGTCAATTCTTGTGTCCAATCTAATCGTGTGTCTGATATTTTTCTTGTTCAAAATAGTCTTTATCTTCTCCATTTTACAAAAAAGAAAGTTGTCAAAATGTAGATTACATCACAATTTACATCAATTGCAGTAGTACGTATGAAACTAGAATTAGAATAAAATTCGGTATTTGAATTTAATTAAAAATGTTCTATCGAATGTATTTCCAACAACTAATCTTTGCATTTCTGATTTTACAAGAATATACAAAGCTACAAACAGCACAATGCATAATCCAAATACTCTGGGACATCATCCAGTCTTAACTTTCCACTGTGATCCATATGTCCAAGCTGATTCGACTAGCAGTCTTCCAGATGTTGTAACTAATGGTGTATTACTAGGTATATACAAATCTTGATATTTTCAATGTATTAAGAATAAACTTGCAAGAATCTTGAAAGCATAATTATAAATTAATTTTTGATAGCGATAACATCTAATGAATGCGAATGATATACGAATAAAATCTTTGTTGACAGAATTTTTTTTTGTTTCTCATACCAATGTATATCGAGACAGAGAAATATTTACACACACACACACACATACATCAAATTTAATTTAGTAGAGTCATCTGACAAATAAGCAGGTGTGAATGCTTGGAAGAAAAATTATGACAGAGAATATATACATATATATAATTAATATCTAAGGCGATTGTATTGGAAAATTTACGTTTTGAGTAGCATTTGATCGATTCAAGAATCTTTGTTCCTTTAGAGTTTATCCCAATAAAGTCGCATAGATGCATGATACGTGAAGAAATTAATTGTATAAAACGGCATATTGCTACTTTTGTAATTGTATAGTTTGATTTGGTAATACATATGTATTATGCATTCTATACTTTTGCCTGGATAAGCTCTTAATCCTGATATACACGCGCATAAAAATTAATGAAGCGCTATTTTATTCCGACAAGTAAATTTTTGTATACAATCGTACAGAGTTTTGCTGTAAAAATTAAGAACGTATGAAAAGTTGGAACTTGATCGATCAGATAAGGATCGGACAAAGAAAAATCTTGATGTTCTAATTTGATTGATTAATATATCTATCTAATCTTTGTGCTCTTCCCTTTCTCTCAATCTTTTGTGGCTAGATTCCGATATAGACTTGATATTTTTAAGCGCATGCGCGCAACAAAAGATTTGCGTAAATCTCGATTCTTTCTATTATATAGTTATATAGAATGGAACCGATACACACGGGAGCGCGCAAAGCTCGAGATTGGAAAAATCCATATTTCTAATGTCAAAAAAAGGGGAAAAGAAAGAATCATTTTTTTTTTTTTAATCGAGATTATCACTAAAGACAAGGAGACTATTTTCGAAAAGTATTGGTATTCATATGACATATTCGAGAATCGGAGCCCATTCCATGTTTAAATGAAACGCAATGAAATGTACGTAATGCGAACGCGGCTAAACAAGTTGCACGAAAGATCGGAGCTGATCGGAGTTGATCGGTCGTCGTCGGTTCCCCGACGATCGTCGGCAAAGTTCCGGTTGCACCGAGGCATCCAGCCCAGCAGCAGCGGTACCATGATTTCTATCTCGCGCCCAGTCTCACCTGACGCACGATGAAAATACGGGACGCGGAGTGAGCGGGTGGGGGCACGGCGTTTGCGATAAAGGCAAGAAGAAAGAAAGAAAGAAAGAAGGAAGGAAGAAGGTGGGAGAAAAAGTCGTCCGTCTCCGCGCGCGAGCCGTCATGGCTGAATCATTGTGAGGGACTCTGGTAGAGAGTAGAGGAAACGGCGCGACGCGCGTGATTCATCGAGTGGCGAAGGAGAAGAAAGAGGAAAAAAAGTAGTGTAATCTGTGCAGTTTCCGAGGCGAGCGCGTGTGTCGATTCCCGATCGCTCGATGCCTCGGCCGACTCGGCTGAACTGGAACAAGTACGACAAGGAGACGTGACGAGTGACGAGTGACGAGTCGAGTCGAGTCGACGGTGCAGACTGGTGCACGATGAACGGGTTAAGTCTGAGTGAACTGTGTTGCCTGTTTTGCTGTCCGCCCTGCCCGTCGAGAATCGCCGACAAGCTGGCCTTCCTGCCGCCCGAGCCGACGTACACGTTCGTCGAGGACGAGGGCTCCAAGTTCTCCATCTCCCTGTCGGAGCGGGCCGAGTGGCAGTACACCGAGCGCGAGAAGGAGTCGGTTGAGGGTTTCTACGCGAGGACGTCCCGCGGCAATCGCATAGCATGCCTCTTCGTCCGTTGCTCCGCGACCGCGCGCTTCACCATCCTCTTCTCCCACGGCAACGCCGTAGACCTCGGCCAGATGTCGAGCTTCTATCTCGGACTGGGCTCGCGCATCAACTGCAACATATTCAGTTACGATTACTCGGGCTACGGAGTCTCGGCCGGCAAACCGTCCGAGAAGAACCTCTACGCGGACATTGACGCCGCGTGGCACGCCTTGCGGACCCGCTACGGCATCAGCCCGGAGAACATCATCCTCTACGGCCAGAGCATCGGCACCGTTCCCACGGTCGACCTCGCCGCGAGATACGAGGTCGGGGCGGTCGTCCTCCACTCGCCCCTCATGTCCGGGATGAGAGTCGCTTTTCCCAAAACCAAGAGGACCTGGTTCTTTGACGCTTTCACCAGGTGAGACCGAACGAGACGAGCCCGACGTTTCTCTTTTCTGCTCGAAACGATCAATTATACGCATTTATTCTTCTTTCGGGGCGCAAAGAGCTTAGAAATTCCTTTCCATATTGTAACTTGAAGGTTATAAATCCTTGATAAGTCCCGAGGAAACGAAACGTCAAACACCATTATTTTCGATAACAAAAATTCCCTCGACACTGTACAACTTTCTTTCCAATTTTTTTTTTAATATTACAAGTCTTTTGCGTCGATCTGACTCGTACATAAAAAGTGTACGTAAAAATGCAAAAAATTAAACAATTGTTCATTATTAATTGATCGAGTTTAATAGAAAATCGCTGAATATATTAATTAGCGCCAATTTGATGACATTTCCCTTTATATATTAGTTTATTATTGTGATCCGACTAAGTAAAATCGCCAATATTTTGTACTAAAAAGTTACACGAGTTTGCATTCAAACAACGTATAATGTATACTTATATTATGCAGATGTACACTTGTTTGAAATTTGTGGCGCATAATATGTCTAATGTATCTTGCTAATTAGCTTTCTTCGCACAGCGCACAAATTCTATGATATCTATCTACATATACATGCACGAATGCAATAATTTGTTCATGTAAAACAAAAATACACTTATTTTACACATATTGTCCATAGTTTCGTAACTTACTGTTTGTAATCACAATTTTAAACAGTTATACTCCTGCCATATATAATGCCACTAATATTGAAAAACGTTACCGCAAACTGTATGGTAGACAAGTGGGTGAGAAAAGTATAGAATCAAGTTTGTGATTATATTAGAGAGAATGAAATTATATAAAATAAAGTAATAAATAATAAGAGATTAACATTTTTATAAATTTGTAAAAATGTAGCGACAAGTACATGAAATTTATGTACTACATATATTTTCTTTTTGTTATCCTTACTATTCTTTTATCTCATTTATACTTACCACAAAACTATGCATGCGTAGAGTGAAAATGTACTTTTGCGCATGATTTCTCTTTCAAAGATACAAGTGGCAAACTACTAGAAAATATGAGATAAACGTTACAAAGGTTTGACTTTTTTGTCTTTAAACTTTACATTCTCATAATATTTGATATTAATTAGCAACTATATGTACAATAACATATATGTGTTAAATCTATATATGTTCAATTTTTGTGTGGGAATTATTATATTGTAATCACAAATTGTTACTTTTTATCCAAAATATATTGGGTTATTTGATAAATAACTGGAAATAAAAAAGTTAATGTAAAATCTATTTGACTATAGAAAAGATGAGAAATTTTTTAACATGAAAATCACGCTATATCATTATACATTAGGAGAACAATGTTTGTTATTATATTATTATTTCTTTGCAGCATAGACAAAGTACCGAAAGTAACATCACCTGTTTTGGTCATCCATGGTACCGAAGACGAAGTTATAAATTTTAGTCATGGTCTGGCAATTTATGAGAGATGTCCACGAGCAGTAGAACCACTATGGGTTGAGGTATCAGATGGATTTTTATTAAAAATTATTACTAGTTTTCAAATTGTTATTTCTTTTTTCATTCATATTTACATTGATTACAGTTGCTATTGCTTAATATCCGATTATATATTATATTTTGTCTGCTTAATTTTCATAATTTTTAGAAAAGAATTAAACTCGTTCTTTATCAGCATACTAATTTAAAACAGAATACTAATTTATTATAAAATTAAATGTTAATTAGATGCTAACTAAATGTTGAAATTTAAAATTGTGTTTAAACTTATACTATAGATAGCAAAATGTATAAATATGTAATTTTTCAGGGTGCTGGCCATAATGATGTAGAATTATACAATCAATACCTCGAACGACTGAAGCAATTTGTAAGCGTGGAATTGGTGAACTGACGGCGACTCAGCCTCTCCCAGAGTCAGGGGGGGCAGGATGGAGGCCATATGCATGCGAGCAATCACGGACATACCGTTTCCAACAACTCCAACACCATCAGTTCCATTTCAACAAGTTCCCCGACGGAGAAACTTGTCTAGCAGTCGCCTCACACAGGGGAGAAGACACCTGTCCTTCCCTGTGACGAAGAATCATCCTTCGCCTCTGTAGATGATGTATTCTTCTTTTGCGAGCAGCAACAGACTGTAAACCAGGAAACCAATTGCCCTTCAGAGTCCTTCAAGAAAACACGTTCCAAAGATGAGAATCCAAATGCCGAAAGTTACTCGAAGAAGTCGAATGTCAGGACAGAGAGTAAAAACTTTAAACGGAATGATTCCTCGATAAAGGACAAAGGGCAGAGCAAAATTGCCGCTGTCGAAAAGGTGTCCGATTGTCAAGATTATCAATATTACAATCATACTGGGAAAGTTATCAAGAAACATACTTATCTACCGAAGAATTTGAAAAATCCATTTGCTCAAAGTCAAAAAAACATTGTCCACAGAAGCTTGAAGAATTCGTTCGGTCAAAATCACAAAAAATCAGACAACCAAAGAACTCATACGGCTTTGATCGATATACTAGTGGAAGACTGCCGACAATGTGCGATCGGAGAAAAGTCGGTCGCATCGTTTTCCAATGCTTCTAGTGATGTTAAAAACGACATTACTGATTGTAGAGGAGGTACTCTTACTCAGCCCATAGCGGAGAAAAAATCTCCTGGATCTCGATTCAAGTACAATTGTATAGAGTCGACGCTGGACTCGAATAGCACTAATAATAAAGATAGCGGGCAACGTTATTACAATAAAATTTCAATTGTGGATAATATTACGAAATTTAAAAGGTCCGATGCAGCAGCACATACCAAGACAACAGAACTCACGAAGAAGTTTCCTTGGGGTTGCACGTGTACCAAGATTAAGAGAAAGGGCCTCGAGAAATGTAAGGAACAGGAGAAGAGCGATTCTACCGAGAGTTTTGATTCCTACAATGATGCCAAGCAATTGAAAAAGAAGAAACTTATTTGCAGCCCGTTGAAAAAGCTCGGCCGATCGTCATTGACCGTGGGCTCGGATAAAATTACGATAAATTTGCCAAAATATTCTCCTTGCGCGAGCAGATTAGCCGCAAGTTCAAAAATTTTGTCATCCGATCTGACAGTAGATCCGGAAAGTCCACTTCACGTTCCACGCTCGAGAAGTCCATCTCATATTGATGTACAAACCGAAGACAAGCCTTCTGCGAAGCCTTTGGAAAGACCGTCGATGCAAGCCAGTTTGTCTCTCAACATACAACAGCTCCAGAAAACCCGATATACGCCGCGTAGCAGAAGTGTCGGTGACAGTTGCGTAACATCGCCGACGAGTGAAGCGACTACCGTCAGCTATTCGCCTACCAATACGGAGATATTATCTCTGGAAGAAGTTGGACCGCATACATCATCGGCTGAAGGCTCGGGTAGTAGCTATTCGGAGGTCAAGGAGAAACTGGACGTTGAATACCCCGATAAAGTTAGGAGAGCGACTTTGGAAACCAAGTGTTAATGAAAGGTGTGTACTTGCGGCATGACACACACATGTTTCGCTATTCTATATATCTCTCTTCCACGTATACATGTATATACGTATTTTACGGAAAAGGATCACAATTCCGTACGCGCGCGTTAACCCGCTTTGGGCTGCAATCGTGTTAGTGAGAAACTGTATACACAAGAGCGAATACACACACACACACACACACAGACATACATACATATTTATAAGATTTATTATATTTCTAGAAATGCAAGAATACAATACTTATGCATATTCTTATCTATATATACACACTCAACGCACGCGTGTTCACATACACGTGTGAATATTATGAGCCGTTTGTGCAGAATAGGCTATAGCTACGTTGTTACGACACGCAAATATGTCGAGTATTATTTTATTATCTTTTATTAATTATTCTCCTTAAGAGTTAGGATTATCCAGTGGTCCGCGTGTGTGTGTCGAAATATTTCTTTGCTTTAGGAAATGCAACAAGCACAATGGTAGTATATAGTAAAGAGATATCTCGCTGAACATTCGCATTTTCTTAATTTATTCTAAAACTAGTATTATTACATCTTTTTACTCAGTTAATGTTCCTTTCTCTACGCCCCCCCCCCCTTCTCTCTTTTTCTCCTTCCCTTCTTCTTTTGAAGACTTTAGTAATATATTTATCGATCGGCGTAGTCATTAACTGCATTTTTTATATCTTTTTTTACTTTTTTCTTCATTTAGATTTAATTAAGGCAATACAATTTTTGTATAGCGAGAATAACGCATAAATGTTATTAATTCGGTAAGATCTGGTTCAGCGAGGATCTTCATCAAATTGGATCTTTTTCAAATTGGATATCTTTGCGAGTGATTGTTATTATCGACCTCCAGTGTGATAGTGTAACAGTAATAAGGGCATTTTTTTTATATTCATATGTTGAAGATCCGTGAAGAGAATTGGAAATCTTCCAAGTTAGTAAAGGTTTTAGCATGCAGTGGCATGGATGGAACTAACAAATTGAGATTTGTATACAGTGCGTCTCTTAAGAATATTGAATGTCGGAAGCTGAACAGAATAAATCTAGTAAGCAACAATAAGAATGCAAATAGCTAGGGACAATATTACTGCCAAACTTGACTATGAATTAATTAATTTCTAAAGAAAGCGATGCATACGAAAAACCCAGAACAGCCAAATTTGTCAAAGACAGGTTTCGCAAAGTGTTTGCTATAAATTTTGCCAGCAGGAAGATAACAAATATAGAATTTGTCGTATGCAATACTATCGATAGGGATGCTGGCAGAAATATAGCAAAGCTTGCTGATAAAATATTAATAAGGACGAATTGACGGTAGAAATCGAGCGGATTTGAAACATTGCTATTTCACGTGCATAATCAACATTAGTTAAAAATCTGCCATCACGGATTCTGCTCGGTTTCTGCCGTCATTGTGATGTCATTGTGTTATGCTTGCGATTTCTATATCGGCAAAACACAAGTTGAATGTAAACGCAATTGATGCCAATTTGCTGCAGTTTCTGCACGAATCTGTTGCCAATCTGTTGGCAAACTGCTGACAAGTTTGCTTACTGGGAACCTCGTCTCTATATAGATACGTTTCTCGTTAGTATTTTTATATCTCGCGATATATAATGTGTAAATACGATATAGTTAAACAACCTTTTCTTTATTGTCACGTATGCGATACAAGACAGTTTACGTGGAATGCCAATGCGGATAACATACCGCGAAATGTACTTTTTTGCTACTTCTCTATGGCATTCTGTGGATTGTTGATACTTTTTATCGGGGTCAAAATTGTTTATCGGGTATCGCGACGTCAGTGTTTGAAAGTGGAAATTTTAAGACGAGTTAAAATATCGATTTTATCTACCAAGATAAGAGAAGAGAAGATTGATACACCGCGATAACTCGGTGAATCAGTTTTTACCGTTTAGACTATTTATGTCATAATGCCCTCGCAACTTGTTGGGAATGTTGCAAGCGGAAGAATAACAAAATACATATAAAGGAGAAAAGAATATAATGCAAATTATAAAAATAATGGAAGATAAAAGCAAATGATGCTTTGTATTTTGATGATATTTTTGTTTCAAATTTTCATTTCCGTAAAATAGCAATACCCTGTATTTACGTCGTATATTTAAGATGTAGTTGCGTTTGATTCTACGTAAAAGAAATTTTATTCATCCATTATAAAAAATTACACATTATCATGGTAGATTGATAACTATATTATCACAATTGACGTAAAATATTGTGCCAATATGCTTATTTTAAAAAGCTGATATTTTTGTTTTTCGAGTCTCTTTTGTTTTGCACAAAAACGTATGCACACAGGATTATTAATAATTGCTGTAGACTTATATAAATAAACTGAGAGAACGCTCCTATTGGGGAACCTTAAAGCCAATGTTAGAGTAAGCGAGGACAATAAAGAGTGTAAGATACTTTTGTTGGTTCGAATGTGCAATTGATGTTGAGAAAAGAAGAGAACCGATCGTCTCATATTCTTACTCTTCTAGTTCTTCATCGCCATTTCCCCATTGTAAGCATTGTATGATGCAGAAAGCATCTTTGTATAATACATCTCTGCCTTTCAATCTTATAGTCGGATAAGAGTGCTCAGTGTATATTATACAAGTCTATGACAATTACACATATTATATAATTTGGGAAATGTATATATACATCCCGTGCACCTTATACACTCCGATATCATCTGTAAAGACATTAATGACCCCGTGTCATAGGAAAGCATCCATAAAGCAAGTATCTACAGGGTATCCCAGATTCGATGAAAAACTGATGTATTATTTCTTGTAAAATTTGGTGTCGATTCTTGTTAATGAAAATATTAAAGTAGTTAAATATTAAAAAGACAACTTTGTTGTTCGCTTAATTTGAAATAAAATCTTTAATAGAGAATCTTAATTTGAGATTTAGTCCCTAAGGTATCGAATGTTGAAATGAAAAATATTGTATGAAAAATGATAAGTCTTCCTCGAAATTTTTATCGAAGAAAAATTTACTCCAAATTTTATAAGGAACGACATGTACTTTCCTCCGATAACATATTCAACAATTGGCCAACTTCCAATGCAGCATTTCGATCATGTGTTCTGATAAGCCTTTACCAAAATACGCAAACGTTAGTGCAATGTACAGATATCGATAAAAACCAACAAAAATATTGTTCGAATAAAAATGAAAGAAAAGGAGGAAAGGGGCAAGAAGGCAAGAAGCTATTCGAAGCGGCAGAAAACTTAGAGTCGGTCTTGTGTGTGCTAGTTCCTGTTATATCATTACCATTTATTTCTATTGTCGCACTCTCGAAGCATACTCTACGTCTTACGATACAATTGTGTGTGCATCAGTTTACTATTCTTCATTGATTTCATTAATTATCGCTATCGGTTGCTATTTCCACATTTGACTTTGATTTTATTTTTAAGATGAAAAATTGACAATGAGCCGTGATATATTGTCATTTATCAGAAAAAGGATATTTCCTCTTTCTTGTATCTTTTCTCTTAATTTTGTTCAGCATAAACTCTCTCTCTCTCTCTCTCTCTCTCTCTCTCTCTTTCCTTCTTTCCTTCCATTTCTTTGCTATCC